AAAAAAAAAAAAAGAAATTACTTTTACAGATAACAAAATGAGAAGATTAAAATCAAATACAACGTCTTTTTGTGGTTTCTGTGTCCATGTGGCCTTTCTACTGTCACCTCAAACAACTGGAAAAAGACAGGGGGCCGTGACACAGCCTGATCCCTGCTCCCCGTCAGGCATGGGGCGACAGGGGCAGAGAAATACTAACAAAGGCATAACAGCCACAGCAGTGATCCACAGTGCTCCAGCTTCATGTGCCCCAGGCATACGCTGCACAGCCGTTTATTCCTCACATCATTTCTCCCCCATTTATGAAGAAACGGAAGTTTCAAGAGGTTAAGGAACTTGTCTGGAGTAACAGAGCCGGCAAACGACAGAGCGAGGGATTAAACCTCGTTTGGTTTCAAAGCCCATGCTCTTAACCACTCTAATGAAGACAACACTTTCACAAATATTAAACCATTATCTTTTAATTGCTCTCTTACCTTTCATCTGCCACCTCTAAGTGTGAGTCAGGAGGTTTAGGATGCCAGGGCAGGCAAGGGCAGGCCTTGGCCTCTTTAGCAGGGCAACAGGGGAGAGAGGTTGTTCCAAATCACACCTCCTCTTTCAGCAAGCCAGGTCCTACCTGGCTGAGGAGACACAGAGACTTCTGGAAAAGAGGTTGAGTCAGGAAGAGGAAGGGGAGAAGAGCCTGCCCCCGGAGTCTGGGTGATTGCAAGAAGACATGTTACTTGGAAAGGGTGAAATGGTCTGGGGCAGAGAAGTTGAAGGAAACACTGCAGGGATGGGGAGAGGTTCTTGACCACTCTTCACATGTGACTCTGGTAAGGGTCACCAGCAGAGGCCTGAGTCCCCACGGGGAAGTCAGCCTGGTTAAGGGCTGGAGTGGTGTTCTCATGAGGACTGGGTCACCCCCCTGAGTGGCCTCAGTTACCGAGTATGGTGGACACCTGGCTGAGGGACGCAGGTATGAAGTAAGACTATTAGGGGCCAGGCAAGGTGACTCCATGGTTGAGGCTCAGGAAGCCAGAAGCCAGAGGCCAGACAGAGATAGGCAGAGACCAGAGGTGTCTGTAGGAGGTGAGGGGACCATGGACGGTGCTCCCTGTGAGCGAGGTCTTGACTGGCAGAAGGAAGTGAGACTCCTCCTGCACAGCTCAGCCAGAGGGGCACAAGAACACTGCCCCCTCCCCAAATTGCCAGGAGCCGACAGGGAGCTCACCCACCTACCCAGAGAAGAGTCTGGGGAAGGCAGATCTGGATCAACTGATAATTACCTAAAGGTGCTGTTCGATTTTTGTAGCTTACTAAATTTACCAGATGGGATTTACCTATTAAAGGTGTTCTCTTCACTGACCAGTAGGAGGTGGGCTTGTGAGGAAAGCCAAATCAGTACCATAGTAACAGAAATAACTTCCGGCTCAGATTGCCCATAGAGACTAGCTGTGTGATCTTGCGAACATTCATGAACCTCTCTGAGCCTCAGTTTCTACGTCAAGTTCAGATACAAATTCCTCCTTAGCAGAGTGTCAGGCACACAGAATGCACTCAATAAAAGGTCACCACTGTTGCCAACTGCTCTTTTGAGCACAGAGGGAGGTAAAGACAGATAGGTGTGACGGGGGTGGAGAAGAAAGGAAGTAACAAAAACATATTTTAATTCTGCAGCTATGCAGATGTTCTCATTCAGAGTCAGGAAAGTGGGGGTAAAATGTAAGGGGCCAGGACCCCTCTCCCCAGGAACAGGCATACCTGAGACCGCCAAGGAACCATGGGACGTAAAGGCGGGAGATCAGGTGTTTCCAGGTCCTGTGTATCTCCAAACTCACTGAAATTTCTTCTGGACCTGCTGTCTTTTTCTGCTTGTGGGCTGTGTGGGACAGACACATTAGTTCCCAGGACAGAACAGCCTTCCGGGACCTGGAGATTCATTCCAACTGCGTCCATCTCGCCGGGCTGTGTGGTGCTGGGATGGGTCCTTAAAAGTGGGGTGTCGTTCTAGTGGGGGCACCGTCAGGGAATTTGAAGGGAGTTTTGTAAGAAAGTGAAAGCAATGCCATCAGATTCCTCTTGAAGATGAGACAGATGAATTATTGAGGAGGCGAAGGAAGCCAGGACTTAGCTGAAGGAGTCCCACATCTTTCTCTGTGAATGTGTCAAACTATCTGGGCCTACTTTGGTGGAAAGAAATTTCTTGTGCTGCATGAAAGGTAAGCAGGGAGCAAGAATTATGCGCGCACAGGGCAGATCTTGATAAAGGAAGGCCTGCACTGCAAGGCTGTGATCCAGGTTCAGGGACAGAACCTCATTGCTCAGAGCTATTTTTAAAAGTGTGAAACTCAATATGTCAGTGGGGAGGGGAAGGAGAAAGCCTGGAGGTGAAGCACTGAGCCCATCAGGCCCCGAAGGAGACTCACTTTCCTGGGAGAGTGGAGCTTGGTGCTTGCCTGACACCCCCAGATCTCTATTTTGAGCTCTGGGAAGAAATACCTGGCCTGTGTTCAGGGCGGATGGTGAGGGCCATGCGCCAGAATAGAATTTAATAATTTACTCTGCTTCTCATTTTAGTCCTTTCTTTGGTTTCATAGAAGCTGTGTCTGAAAGCTTAAGAATATATCATAGCTCCGTGTTAGAAACAAAAACAAAAAACAAGCCCTCTTTGTGTTCTGTGTACAACTGTTTCAAAGTGTACGTTCAAAATGTGCGTTTTTCTGTCTCTCCTTGTGCTGGCTCTGAGTTATCCAGCATCCTCTCTAGTTGGGAACACCCCGCCATGCCCCCGCTGCAAGACACTTTTGTTTTGTTTTGTTTGTGGCAGCTGGCCAGGAGAGGGTTCAAACCTTGGACCTTGGTGTTGTCAGCACCACGCTATAACCAATTGATCTAACTGGCCAGCCTAAGACTCTTTTCTGAGGTTGCGGCTTTCTAGTGGACTCTCTCTGACCCAAACAGCACAAGAAAAACCAAGTAACAGCCAGACCTACACTCAGACTGACTAGAGTCATGTATTTGGGTGGGAGATGTGTGTAATGTGTCATTTTTCTGCTTGTGCTATTTGGAAAAAATAGCTCGAATGACTAATCAATGACTACTAGTTTGAATTTTATCACTAACAATGAAAAAAGAAGTTGTTCTTTAAATCACACACGTGATCACCTTACAGATCAAAAGCAGTTTGAAAGTGACTTGAATAGTTGCTGGATCTCTTTCTTAGCATGGTGTTTAGCAGTTTACAAAGCACTTTCATTTATGTTTGCCATTTCTTAGGGATCTCATTTCTGGAGATCTTTATTAGAAGCCGATGCTGGCCGACGATTAGAAGAAAAGAAGCTACTCATAGAGTAAGTGTACAGATGCCAGACATAGCTATAGTATTTTAATTTTTATTTTGCTACAAGGGAGGCAGGAAGCTTGAATTGGAAGAAAAAAATTCTGTAATGGAGATATATAATCTACAAGTGCATTTGAAACCAAGTTTTCTTAAAGTCAGACAGAAAGTCACATATAAGACCCAGAAGGACTTCTTAATCCAGGTGATCTTTCAGAATATAATGGGAAACCTGGATTAGGCAAAGTATTGACAGGTGATAGTTGAATACTAGTGAGTTAAATACCATAACTAGGTGTTCTCATTTCTTTAAGTGTTACCCTGATTATAATTCAAAAAATAAGTATAGAGATTAGAATGGGGTTCTTTTTTTTTTTTTTTTTAAGATGACTGGTAAGGGGATCTTAACCCTTGACTTGGTGTTGTCAGCACCACGTTCTCCCAAGTGAGCTAACCAGCCATCCCTCTATAGGGATCTGAACCCGTGGCCTTGGTGTTATTAGAATGGGGTTCTTTAAGACTTCTTTTGGTAAATATTTTTGGGGCCTAGGCAAGGCAGAAGGAAGCCCTGGCACCAACATTCAGAGCTCTCTGTCCTGCATAGGGCATTCTGGAGAGCACCTGAAGGGGCAGCTATCTGATCCTCATGACTCTGCCAACCCTCATCCATGCCGGTGAGACCTAGAATGGGCATCTGGTTCTAGGCAGCTGACCAGAAAGATCCTTGGTCAATCTGGTGCCAGTTGGTGGCGGCCGGAGCTGAGAGCCCAGGCCACATCACACTGAAGAGTTAGCAGAGAGAGCAGCCTTGCCAGTGGTCTGGGTGTGGGGGGTGGGAGGGAGGAGCCGAGGCTTCCTTCCCCTGCCTCTTGGGATGTCCTTCTCACCTCATTTTTTTTTTTTTTTTAAAGATGACTGGTAAGAGGATCTTAATCCTTGACTTGGTGTTGTCAGCACCGCATTCTCCCAAGTGAGCCACAGGCCAGCCCCTCACTTCTTTCTTCCTGCCCTGAAGACCCTCTTGGTCACTTCTCCCTACAGTGGTTCAGATACCAGGGCTGTCCATGGTGGAACTGTGGTGATAGAACAGATGGGGGCGACAGAGGAGCCCTTCCCTGCAGACCCTCCCAGACTGAGAGAGGGGACTTCCACTCCCCAACCTGTGCGCAGAGGGGCGGAGCAGAGAGGAGCCCTAGTGTCATTTCCTGATCTGTGTCAGGGAGTATCCTTCAGGAATGTCTGTAAGGGATGTCTCCAGGCCTCATCTAGCCTAGTCCCCTGTAAAATTCACCTCCTACATGTTAAAAATAAAAGCCAAGCAAAAGACCTTCCACCTTAGCCAAAGCAACAATGCCAACAAATGTTCTTGCACTGAGCACCACGTGTCTAGAAGCCCCCTAGGGCACCTGGCCACTGGTACTGCAAAAAGCCCCATTCCCCGCCTGGCTGGGCCCAACCAGAGCCTGGGTAGCAGCACAGTGGGTCACTCCTGGGGGTGACTTCACAGGATTCTTGGTGGCCAGGATGGCTTAAATCAGCCTTGTTCCTAAAGAAAAACGTGTCCAAATATTCATTATGGCTCCCCCACCCCAACCGATCGGAGGTCATCTCGCTGTGCTCATTTCTGCCTGTGCGTCCTTCTCCCGCTCTGAGGCAGGGACTGCATTTGAGCAAAGTGCCTGACACATGATGGGGGCTTGCTAAATGGTGACAAAAGAGGAAGAATGGAGGCAAAAAAGGAGGCAGGCAGGGAGGGAAGAAGAGAAAGAAGGAAAAGCAAGACAAGTTGTAGGAGGATTTGCAGAAGTAACAGCAGCATTTAATGGTGGGAAGGGACAGAGAACAAACTGAAATGTTTAGGTGGAGGGGTAGTATACTTAGTGCTCATGCGCTGCTTTGATGTGCGTATGTCTTAATTTCTCCCTTTCTTATAACCTTGGGGAAGTTTTAACTTCGTTCTGTTAAACTCAAACATTTTAATGAGCAGTATGCCAATTTCATGAATTTTTATCTAGAAAATACTTCATGAAAATATTTAAAATTGATAATAGAGTAGGGGAGTGGGAATCAGGTGGGTAAAGGGAGGCTGTATATTCCTGTTTCATTCCAATTGTTTATAACAGGAAAGTATTTTTAAATTTACATTATTTTACATTTAAAAAAGGGGGAAAAGCACTACTGAGACAAATTCAGTTAACCCAGTATAGTTTCTTGATCAATTTCCAATAGAATAATATTTCAGATCAAGTCTTTTCCATATGCCATGAAATTTTACCCATTATACCTTTATGTTTGTGAATTTTCTTCTGTGACCACTATTTCTTAACAAGTGTAATTCTTGCTAGGTCAATTTTTTTTTATCTCCAAGATGCAATTCTTTAAAAGTTTACCATGTGAAATTTTAGCTGTTGTTTTGTTGGTTTTATTTTGCATTGTTTATTCCTAAAAGTGTAAAGAAAATTGGATAAAGTACTGATACTTTGTTTTTATCTTTTATTTTTTTATTGCAAAAAAGCATTGGTAAAGAAAAGACATTTTACGTACCTTGGTTTAAAAGGCAGGATGCTTTGTTAGATTAAAACAATCATTTGGAATGTGGGAAATCCTACAGATAGAAAAAAAAAGGCACCCTCAGTTTTGAGAAGCAGGCTATTTAAAGAAAGATGTTCTCCAACAAGAAAGCCCCTGAAAAGCAGAGGGATAAAATCACACAGAGAAAGGGGTTGTCAGACAGACCAGCGATATCAAGCCATTCTTTAATAATTGACCCACTAGTGCTTTAAATTAAAATTTCTGGAATTGGCTCTTGGCACATTGCGTAGGGTAACAGTGTGTCTCTAGGTTTGGGGAGCTGAGAACTTAATGAGCATTCTATCCACTTATAGACCTTTGTCGACCTTAAAAAACCTGAAGCCAAACATAAAAACATAGGATTTATTGAGCAAATATGACAATTGCAACCAGAGAGACACAAAGGTCAGGTCGCCCTGAGAAATGCACTCCGGAGAGGGCCAGCAGAGCTTAGCATTTTATCATCACAAGAAGGGGGAAGCTTCAAAGGTGAGGGAAGGACAGCCTGCCTAATTACTTCATCAGGTTTTCTACTGGTTGCACGTGACATATAGATTTGGGACTGTTACTAGGTTACACCCTACATGTAAGGAGCTAAGGTAAGGGATACAAGAAGCATTTGAGGTTGTATCATAGCTTTCTGGTGCCATTATGCATGCTTCTAGGTAAAAACGGTTTTATGATAACGTTTCCAGGACAGGTGGACGTGACTACTGACTTACCCCAGATCTCCCAAGGCACTATAAGTTAGGTGACCTGGTTAAGAGCAGATTTATTTTTTTCGTTATCACCTACAACTTTAGGGAAGTAAATTAGGAAGAAAAAAATTCACAAATATAAAAAATACACATAATAATGATGTATGTCGTTTGAATGAACAATGGTTATGGTCTCATATTGTGAGGAGGACTCTTTTCTCAAATATCTATATGTAGCAGAAAAGGAGGATTGGACAGAGTATAGTTGGGGACAGTTATTAGAAAAACTAAAATTGTTTCACGTTTACCCCAGAACCATCTGAGACTTCAATAAA